CCTCACGTCTGTCCACAGTCGGCGACAGAGCGTTCCCGGTCGCTGCGGCCAGAACATGGAATGGTCTGCCAGCATCGGTGACATCTGCTTCTTCGCTGCCGTTGTTTCGTCGACGCCTAAAAACAGAACTTTTCCGTGGAGCCTCTGAATCTTAGACCAGCCGTCATCTAATCTATCAGGGATATTACTGGTTTAGCATAGGTGTTATTTGTTCTAGCATAGACGTCGTCAGTTTTGGCATATGTCCTTTGTTTTAGCATAGACGTCATCTGTTTTTATCCTCTCGTGTCTTTTTTAGTCACTTGTAACGTGCCCTCGAAGTTCGATCTGAACGAGACGCTACGACAATCTCTTCGTGGAATAGTAATAATATTAATAATAATTATATTGAACACAGATACTTGCACGGTGAGTAACGTGCTTCTCAGCCATGAGGTTATGACTTTATTTATATTGAACACAGATACTTGCACGGTAAGTAACGTGCTTCTCAACCATGTGGTAATGACTTTATTTATATTTAAACACAGATACATGCACGGTGAGTAACGTGCTTCTCAACCGTGAGGTTATGACTTTATTTATATTGAACACAGATACTTGCACGGTGAGTAACGTGCTTCTCAACCATGTGGTATTGATATCGTGTTGGGCGTGTCTACGCGCAAGCGTTCCAGCAATCCATCATCCTTGAAGTGCCAGATGCCTTCTTTTGCCCGCACCCTTCGTTCGAGTGTAAGTTTTATTTTATATTGGAATTTGTATTTGTTTAAATGAATATTTTGGTAGCAATGTATGGTTTCTTAACAAGTTCACTGGATTTTTTGTGTTAACTAATAATAACGGATTTTCCCATGCGATCACATTTTTTTCACTAGGGTTCAAGAAGATCGCTCAGGAACTCCTCAACAAAATCGTCTACGTTGACTGGCCGCATCTTAAAGAAGCTCTGGTGCGTTCGACCATCTTCATGATGAAATTTCTTGAGCCTTATCTGAACCATTATACGAATGATATTTTCTCTATGTAGACAGAACCATTTTGCGAACGATATTCTGTGGGCCTAAAGTGCCCTAAACTGAACAATGTCGCGAATGACATTCTCTGAACCTAGACTGGACCATTTAGGATAGGATACTTTCTTAATGTTGACTGGACCATTTTGGATAGGATACTTTCTGAATGTTGACTGGACTATTTTGCGAAGGATGCTTTCTGAATGTAGACTGAATCATTTTGCAAGGGATACTCTCTGACTGTAGACTGGGCTGTTTTGCAAAGGATACTTTCTGAATGTTGACTGGACCATTTTGCGAAGGATACTTTCTAAATGTAGACTGAATCATTTTGCAAGGGATACTTTCTGAATGTATACTGAACCATGTTGCAAATAATATTTTCTGGACTTAGACTTAGTAGTTTTTGTCAAATAGTCCTTTGTCAAATGGTCCAGTAGAAAATTTTCATTTTCTCAATTTGTTTCCTTAGAAACGATAACAAATTTATTTGTTTATAAATGAATGGCTGAGCTAATTGTTGATGGAGTTTTTATTAGTTCGTTATACATTATTAAAGTTTAATATTTTAATAATTTTAACAATCGACATTAATTAACTATTTTTATGTTTTATTCAGATTCATTTCTTAGCAATTACCTGTACGTCAAACACCAGGTGGTTGGCTTGAGCTGCGGCAGGTTCAGAGTCTCCCTGTTGCCCGGCGCCTCATCCATGATTAAAATCGAAGTGTTTAACGACAATCCGCTCTACGGAACTTTGCGAGAACAAAGAGAATTCCTCAGAGCTGCTAATGCCCTTCGCTCTGATCTTCTCTACAAGTGGGGCATCGATGCTGGCCGCTCCAGCCTCCTAGTGCACTGCAAGCCCATCGCTGGCAGACGGTGAGATGGGCAGGGCTTGGAATGTTCCGAAATATAGATCGAATGAAATGGATCTAATAGAGAGCGAAATTTCCGCGATCTCTATTTAATCAGTTCCTCACCAGGCAAACTGATGCGTTGAAATAACGTTGATCGATCGATTTTTTAACACAATAAGCCCGTAATCGATATTGTTTCAACTTGATTTGCCATGGGGGATTGATCGCCATTATCAGTGGTTGTAATGGTCGTTTCATTCTATCAGTGGATCATATGGATTGCATATTGCAGGGTGGAGGTAAATTTTCAAACAAAAGTAACGTAATAAATATTTAGTTGGCAATTCAGTGATGACGGAAACGTTTTGAACTTCAATTCAACCATATATAGTATTTTGAATATTCGGTACTACGGGTTACATGCTTAGGATGGCATTTTGAATCGGTGGATTAAACGGATGAGCTATGGGACCGCTTCATAAAATTATATAATAATCGGTGCTGCTGCCTCAGAAATAAGGAAATCTTGGATTTTTTAGGAAAAGTTCAAAATTTATCGGCCAATGATGAGTAGATGAAGGCTATTTTGTTTGAGAAATCTAAAATTGTTGTGGCATCTCGCCATGAGTTTCACAATGATGAAATCGATACTACAAACGTGCTTCAATTCTTGAGTATGACTCGTCTCATAGTAGCTTTTCTCTGATCGTTGAAGGTTGCTGTTTTACCTGCCATTACCCAATCAAATTTTTTATTCCTGTCAGCCACTAACACAAGAGCGCCCCAAACCCGCCTAGCGCGTAAATTAACGGCTCTATGTCCGCTTTAGATTGTGGTTGAGCGAGGGAAATAAGCACCTGATTAGAATCCGGTCTATTCCCTGACAACCGTGTGGCGGGTTCGGGGCGCGCATATTTGGCACCTGATACTTTTGGGAGAGACACGACCGAATCTGAAAAGTGCGCTAAAAATGCCCCCTTCCTTCCCCCATATAATGGGGAAAAGCTAGGGAGAGGGCCTTTGACTCTGTATACGCTATATATGTACGTATGTTTAGTCTAGTACTACTCGCTTGGTTTTAAGATCAGAGCTAGTAACTATTAGAGAGCTAGTAACTAGTAACTATTTTGACATGGCGTAGTTCGAAATGGGGGCAATAATCGCAAATAAAAAATTTCAATCGATACGTCAATATAAATGATTCAATACATGTCAAGCCAATTTCTGCTGTTCCATCCATGTATCCTGCCGAATGAACAACGTTGTGTGAAAATAATCGTTGAATTATTTGCCGTATCTTGTCATGTAACTTTCGTCACATTAAATTCTATCGAGCAAACAGTTCTGCAAGGGCCTCAAAATTCTGCGTCCATTGTTGGAAGAAAGACCACACAATAGAATGGAGAAGCACATGTTAATTAAAAAAAATCAAGCTCCGGCAGTAACTTGATTGCAGCGTTCAATTGTTCAAACGTCATAGCAAATGAGGATCTTTCTGCATCTATCGTCGGCTGCTGCATTGGCAGTATTAAGTTTCACATGTAGTTCTTCTCAAGCATTAAAGTTATCAACTGCACTCAGTTCCTGGAGAGACGATCAAATAATTGACGGAATATACGATAGTTATGGGAAATATTCAAATCAAATAGGTTGCTCACAGATTAGCCTCTTGTAAGCAATAGTTCATAAGCTATCTTCTGCTTGAGCAATAAGTTCATGCATGCAGACATATGCTCAAAGCTGAACAGTTCTTTTGTTGAAGAAACCATTCGTCTAGCAAACAATTTTACTGAGGTCTGAAAATATTGCTTGCAAGTGCTGAAAACAGAAAAATAGAAATATTTCTAACGTCTAGTTCAGTAACCATTCCAATATTGCTGGCTGAGCTCGATGGTATAAGGAATTTACACAAACGTAAAGGCTAACAATTTTATTGAAACTCCAAGGGATAAAACTTCGGATCCAGCGAAGTAGAATACCGGAACTGTAGTGGAAGCAGTTGAGGGAAACTAGAAAAATAGACCTTGCCAAACGAATGCCGGAGCTTGAGAAATAATTACACCAATTATAATTATGAATAATTATAAAATTATTCCACTTTAGCGTTACAAAACTTGACAGTGAACGCATTTCCCAGTCCAACTCAAATGAAATAACGCAAACATCATAAATAACGTCGCGCTGGCTGCACTTAGGCATAGGACACACGGTAAAAGAGATGCGACGAGAATACCGGAGGTTATACTGTAAATTAA